GAAATTTTTTTCTTTTTACGATCTACTGCTCTTGCAGTTGTAGTTATACCGATATTAGCCAACGTATTCAGACCCTCATTGCTTGTACCTACAGAATCTAAATAATATGCTAAGTCGAATTTAAAAGAATTAATTTTTGAATTATTTAATTTTTTTTTATTTAATAAATTAATAAATTATGCCTTTAATTATAATAATTAATAATGATTAATTGATTGATCGAATTGTTAACTAATAACGACATAATAATATATGGCGCAGCTAATTAGTGCAGGATGTATAAAAACGAAAAGTTGCGTCAATATTTTCGAGATTATTAGCGATGATCAAAGTTAATAATATTAATAACGCATTATTAATTTTTTTATTATTAACTAAAAACTCAAGAGGTCCCATCACTAATTGGAAACTAATAATATTAATTTAAATATTATCGTTATGCCTTTAATTATTTAATAATTCAAAAATTTATTAATTTGATCAATCGGAACTAATAGTATTATAAAACATATAAAAAAAAAATTTTATCATTTGTGTAACGGCCAGGTGACTCAGGTAATCGTTTCCTAATTTGGGACGGTCTCCCCTGGAGATGTAACCTGATAATCTTAATTGTCCGGAGCGAAGCGGAGGACTTACATGTTTATGCGCTTTGATGACTGAAATTACGATTTTGATGCATCTATAATAATAATATCAAAAACGTAGTTTCGGCATTTTCCGTTTGTAACGCCCCTGAAAATTTTGATCTGCGATATATATGACCAGATTTTTTAGGGACTAGGGTCATTAATTAAATGCTGTTATGGGCTCCGGACTTATACCGGTTTCCGGTTCCTAGTAATACTGTAATATTAATATAGTTATCGTGTAACATATAACCCGAAAAGAAGTCGAAAGTGATCGTTAATACGTAGCGACATTTTCTTGCCATGACTAACCCACTTCTGGTTTAGCATGACTGCGTCACCCAATTACTTACGTATTATTACAAACATGACATTCTTATGACTATTACACCTATTTACGGCAAAAAATCTCAACTTCGAAATGAAAAGATTGCAGGCAACAATGTTAACCCGGTCAAGACAAGAAACATGACATGTGATTGCCTTCATTTGCCACCAAGATATTCGATGTACTAGTACTACGTATATAAAAATCAAATAGATGATTTTTTCTCGGGTAATAATCACGATGATCTACACTAAAATGCTTAAAAACTATTTGACAATCGTTAATAAAATATGGGTGAATATATTTGTCGCCGGCAGTTACAAAATTCCAAATCCAGATAACTCAACATTATGCCTACGTACGTACGTACGTACGTACAGTACGTATGAAATCGACTTACAAAAAATATTCCTTGCATAATTTACTATATATTATGACTTTCCTAATTCTAAATATATACAAATATAAGTAAAATTCGGGTACTGTCACCTCAGGCGACAAATAGATTATTTCAATGAATTAAATAAAAATTTTAATAAAAAATTTCTTTAAAAAAAGCTCTCTTTTAGTTTAAAATATAGGTTCTGCTGAGCAATTGAGCAAAATTTTCAGACTAGTTAATATGTAATGATATACGATTTGAAGTTAAAAATCTTATATAAAACGATTATAAAAAATTATCAAATTTCAAATTGTATCTCCGTAAATTACATATTAACTAACTTAAAAAAATTTAAGAATTTTTTTAATAATATTAACAATTTTCTTTAAAATTTATAGCATTTTACTATAGATCATCGTAGTTGTTACACGAAGAAATTTTGCCTCGATCCTATTTTTGACAGGCAATGCGGATTCTATTAAATCCGAATTGAATCCGTATTAGATTACATATAAAGAGTGCTTTGTAGCATTACCTTAGACCTGTCATTCAAGTTCTTTGACCAATCTGAGTAAAAATCTCTGATCCAGATATTTGAATCTATCTGGATTTATGAGACTATACATACATTTGATCTACATAGTACACTAAACAACACCCCAACCCAACCTCAGGTGTTGATCATTTGGCCGGCATTAACTGATCGGTATTAATTGGCCTAAACTACAACCTAATCCTTACCCAAACTCTAACCCTAATTTAGGCCGATCGACACCTGAGGCAAGAATTAATCTGAGGCACAACATATATTCGTAATAAATAGGTAATAGAATGCAAATAATTACTTAAAATTACTTAAGGAATAAGTCATAAGTCATTATTACAAAATTACTTAAGGAATTAGTCATAAGTCATTATTACAAAATTAAAACCAAATTCTGACGTAAATTTAAACAGTTGGAAAATTTTTTCGTCCTTTTGACAAATTTCATTACTAGAATTTCTAAACAATCAGACTTAAGGCGTTCTTAATGGGGATATTATCCTACTTAAACTGGTTAGTTTGTGCTTCGAACACTGTTCCAAAGTACACACATAAACTGGGTTTCAAACTCTGCTTTAGAACTGGTTATATATGTTGTAAGTGGGAATGAAATTAAGTAGATTCAGAATTTCCATGTTAAATTAGGGTTAGGGTAAGGATGTACATATGATAAAATCAACACCAAAATACTGGGTTTATACGTATAAAAATTCCGGGTTGGTGAAAAGTAACTGAACAGTGACCTTTTTTTAAACTACTGCCAGTATTACGTAGATATAATAAATAATTATAGAAGGTCAATATTAGCGGATATAGTAAAATAGGTCACTGTTCAGTTACTTTTCACCAACCCGATATAAATACAACCCCGATATTTTGGTCTGTTTTGTTCGAACTAGCCCGATAGGAAAATGTCGTATCGGTATGGTGATTTTCAAGGCAAAGATCCCATATATTGACGCATGTTAGTTCAAAACCGTTATTTATTGGAATACTGTATATGCATTAAAAATTACAGATCTGACTAGAGTCCAATGAGTTTCATTTGCGTAATCGTTATCAGTTATATGATTAAAAACTCGTGTTTAACTGGTTCGGGGTTTCGAACAGGAGCGAACGGGCTTTACTCATTTGTGCCGGTAATACAAACTCCTAAAAAGGAAACGACCAATCAGTGAGTTCAAATTTTGATCGTTCCGGATCAGCCCGACATGAATCCGAGCACATGCTAAAGAAGAAAAAAGCGAAAATACTCAAAACCTAGTGACCTTTGTGTACTAATTAAAAATGCCGGGGACGAAATTTTACATATAATAAATAAATAGTGGTTTATGGCTATAGCTCTAATGTTAACGTCCCAACCCTAGATTTGCGTTTTTGATGCAATGCTTATTTACAAAATTAAATTTCCTTTTTGGGGGCACAAAGTAAAGCCGAGCGAACAGCAGGATAACATCCCTAGTTTTCAAGCGCCTCCTCAATGAATTCAACAAAGGATATGTTATTTATAGGAATATCATCGGTTTGGCCCCGGTTTGTATATTTAACTATTATAAAAACCGATTAATGAATAGAACAGATAACATTCTTAGCTATCAATGTTTACGGCTAAAAGTTTTTGCGATTATCAGAGTTAAACTTTATAAATACGCACATATATAACAATTTTAAGCATGGATGAACCACAGAAAATACTTGAAGTATCTATTCTTCTCGCAGGTACACCGATACCAAAAGTGATCGAGAATTTTGGACATTATGGTGAACAAATTTCAACACTCCTACAAAATGCTATTCATAGTAGCAAGCAGAAACTATCGCTGAGAATCCGTAATTATGATGTAGTAAATATGGAATTTCCCGAAGAGAAAGACTTACTTGAAACGAATGGTATCATAATTACTGGTTCTGGTAATATGACATGATTCCACATCCGAAAGATGTCTTGTGCTTTTTATGATGATCAGTATTTGAAATTTTACTGTTCTCAAAAAATTTTGAGCAGTAAAAAATTAGACTATGCACAAATCTATAATAATGTTCTCGTGAGAACTCTGAGAACATTAATTTCAAACACTGATTATGATTATTATTTAATGTTAATAAATTTTAATTAGCCTCATCAGCGTATGAAGATGTTCCATGGATTAATCGTCTCGTTGATTTTACGAAACTTGTTATCGACAAACATCAACATATTAAATTAATTGGTGTTTGTTTTGGTCACCAAATTGTAGCCAGGGCCGTAGGTGGCCAAGTTATTAAAAATCCATTGGGCTGGGAGGTGAATTAATTTCATTCTGTAATACAATATTTTTTTTCTAAAGCTCTAATACTAATTCTGTATTTATTTTTCAAGGCTGGTGTAACTGAAGTTTCACTCACAGATGTCGGAAAAAATTTTTTTAAGACAGACAACAAAGTTTTGGTAAAGTCAATATTTGTTATTAGTTTTATTACAAATTTCTTAAATACACTTTAACTTGACAGTTATATATATTTTTTAGCGTATTCAAGAAATGCATCAAGTATAAACATTTATAACTTTTTTTTATTTCAATTAACTCTACTAATATTGTGGATTCATTCATTTATTTATTTTTTATTATTTAGGATCATGTGCATAATCTACCTCGCGGTTTTTATAATTTAGGGTTTACTCCAAAATCTCCAATTCAAGGAATGATAAAGGGCAATCAAATTTTAACAGTTCAAGGTCACCCTGAATTTGTTAGTGGAGTGGTAAAATTAATGACTTATGATCGATTAGATAAAGGAATTTTTGCTCCAGAATTTGCACATACTGCGTTGGAGGCTGCTGATGATAAGGATGATGGCTTATTGATTGGACAAAGATTTATTGAATTTATGACTGGTTAACGATTTTGGTTTATTTCAATGTACGATTGAACATTATCTAAGCATGATTTTTGTTATTAGTTAAACTGTAATAGATATTTAGAATACATCTCATTGAGGTTAAAATTTTTTTTCATATTAAACAATTTAATTTTCTGTTCTATAGAACAATCTCTGATTTATTAGTTGGTAGTATAAAAGTCTAAGTCAACAAAATAAAAGCTAAAATTTCGTTTATAAAATAATAATATTTCAAGTTGGTATCAGAGAACTATTAAATAGTTTTAGCTGATAAATATTGACTAATGAGTAAACAAGTAAATAAGGTAACCCATCCCGGAGTTTATAACAAATATTTTTTTTACAAAAATTCAAATTGATACTTTTCATAAGTTTTACATTTTGGATATTTTGCCCGGAGCAGAGCAGAAAATGAACGTTTGTGTTCGATAAAAATATTAAAAATGTTTATTTCATTTGATATTTCTTCGAATTCATAACGGCTTCTGTTCCTTATTTACTGTTTTTACATTTGGATATTTTGTCGGAGCAGAGCAGAGAATGAACGTTTGTGCTCGATAAAAATATTAAAAATGTTTATTTCATTGATATTTCTTCGAATTCATAACGGTTTCTGTTCCTAATTATAATATTTACTAAAGTTTTAGTAGTTAGTTTGTATTCTATCATGGTTTTAAATAAAAAGTTTTAAGTGCAAGTGAAATCAGAAAGTCTAAATATAAAAATAATTCTATTGTCAAAAGCATACAAACAATGTATTTAGTACAAATTGTATGTAATAAAATAGAGCACAAAACTAATCATAATAATAATTATAAGATATAATTATTACGAAAAGTAAAGTTATACTAACATTTTTACAATAGTTTATTTCAATATTAACAGAATTCTACTATGATATGTAATTGAATTGATATATACATACTCCCTGAAAATGGAATCTATTAAGACGAAAAGTTCTCTCTTTTTTTACAGCTTGTATTAAATGAATGCTTTTTCGTGTTTCTATAAAAACTAATAATTTTGATCGATATGAACAATAATTTATAATTAATAAATGTGTGTAAAAAAACAAACTTTATACAATGTCATCGATCAAAAAAGTATTATTCTAGACTTTCTGCCAAATATCAACGGTATAAATCATTTTAACTGCCATTTGTGCGCTCAAATGGGTACTTCAATGATTAGGTAGATTAAATAGTTGCATAAATGAACTATTACTATTGCCAAATTAATTAAATTTTTTATTAATATTGGCAAGCTCGTGGATGCTGTGAATATAAGAAATGAATAATAAGTAAATGTGCAGTAAATAAAAATACACTAGCAATAGTTGCACTGACAAACCTAAACAACATAAATTAGTAAGGCCATACACCAAAAATATCATGATATTCTATTTCATTAAACCAACACATATTTGAAGTTACATTCAAAGTCCCCAATCCCATGTGATAATTAATCAAATGTGTTTGTTCACAGGAAAACCAATCTTCTGCTTGTTGAAAAACCAGGTCCAAAAATGAAATTGATCTTTGATAACATAATTCAAGAAAAATATTCAATGAATCTGTTGTCACTCTAAAACAAGAATCAAAATGAAGTGAATTCAATTTTGAAGAAATTGTTTGACCGAGTAATGGCATTAACTCGCTAATCTCTATCTTTGACTCTAAGCCTAACATTTCCACTTTTTCCAAATGCGTGCATGATCGAAAAATCGAAGGCAGATGTTTAACAGTTTCACTTGTTGTTGGAATTTTAAGCTTTGTTAAACGAGGACAATGTTCTATTATTGTTAAATATAACAAATTTTCATTATCAGAGTCATCCTCTTCAATCCATTTCAACAATAATTCTAAAAGTCGACCATTAGTGTTACGAATAATGGTGGCAAGTTGAAAAATATTAATAGTGTCATCAATTTCAATTTGAATAATGGAGAGTTGTTTAAATACTGAGGGTTTTATAAACGGTTCTAAAAAATTTTCTTCAAATTCCTCAAATTCTCTACGTAAATCCCTCCAAATTCTATCAGGTTCTTCCGTTATTTTCAATGATTTCAAATTTTGACAATGAGCAAACATATCTAATGGAAATAAACCACCATTCATTATGTGCAGACAGGAAAGTGATTTGACCTTATCTCGAAGAGCTTTAATGATTTTTGGAATGCGGTTATCTGTTCTCTTTATTGTCAAAGATTGCAAAGAATCAACTTTATCAATAAAAGAAGCCAAACCATCATTATCATCATATCGGCAATCTATATCCAATTGATCAAGTGAAGAAAATGTTGAACCGAGATATTCAAAAATATCTGATGGACAAGAAGTATAACAACCTAATTTATCGAGATGCGAGGAAGTGGGAATGATATCTGAGATATTATGTAGATATTGAAGTTCACCTTTCCAAATAACGTTTCGAATGATTATGCTATATCTCAAGTTAGGACATAGAGAAACAAAAAGTTTCAATAGTTCACGATAAAATAATTCTTGCATTTGTTCATATTTTTGAATTTCTGGATCATTTTCGTTAATATTATCTAAGCTGTCAAGATCAAACCTACCGAGTCTTTTAAGTCTACTATTCGAGCCAGAATTAGCAGATACCCAAAGAGTAGCTGCCTCATATATGGAAGTTAATTCTATTTTTCGTAAGAAAGATGCATAATTGAATAAGGTAACCGTAGATGATAATGCAGTTGTCGGTCCTATGCCAGCATTTTTAAGTAAAGTTTTTGATCCATCAGGCATACAAGCAACATAGATCTGAATTAATTTATAATATGAGGGTATTCCCATAGGCTTATTAAGTGTTTCTCTCCAAATTAAAGAGACCGCATTAGCACACCATTGACGATTTACCAGTAATATACATGGGTATAGATCGCAATCATTAATATTGCAAAATATTTTTTGTAGAACTTCAGGTGGAAGTCGATAAACCATATTAAAGTGAGAATGTTATGTGAGACAATCAGGTGTTCTGATCCGATAGAAATAAATACTAAAAATGTGACACAAAATAATTGAGCACAGAAATTCTAATACGTATATATATGTTGTAAGTGGAAACGGAATTTAAGTGGATTCGGAATTTATATATAAAACCCCGCTTTGGGGTTGATTTTATTATATGTACACCCTAACCCTAACCCTAATTTAACTAGAAAATTCCAAATCCACTTAAATTCCATTCCCACCTACAACATATATAGTACGTTGGGGTGTCCAATGTACTATGTAGATCAAATAGATTTATAGTCTCATAGTAAAATTTACTAGTGAATTTTTTTCGTGTAACGAAGACGATGATCTATAGTAAATGCCATGATTTTCGACGAATTTTTATTAGATTTTTTTAAAATTTTAAAAAAATCGAGCTTTTTATTAAAATATAAAGTCTGGTGAGTAATTAGGTAAAATTTAAAAGAAAGTTATTATGCAAAATTTTGAGGAGATACGATTTGAAATTCAAGAACTTTTAATAGTGTTTTCATAAGAAAATATCAAATTTCAAATCGTATCTCCTCAAAATTTTACATAATAAATTTCCTGAAATTTTACCTTGATTACTCAACAGACTTTATATTTTAATAAAAAGCTCGATTTTTCCTAAAAAAGTTTTTTATTAAAAAATTATTAATTTCCAATGGTTTTGATGATTTTTAATATTGGTTACACGAATTTGTATAATGCACGTGCTTGCAATGAATGCGATAGAAAGCAGGGTATTTTTACAAATTGAACTTAATCAATGGCTAAAAGCGTCAGGGAATAAATTTTAATTGGAGGAAAATATTTTCATAGTTCAAGTGTTTTTAAATAATAATAATATATGAATTCGGTTGTATTTTTCTTGAGGACGGATTTTTTTTTGGGAGAGGAATAAGAATTGAATGCTTTTGAATTAGCATTGGATACACGAGTGCGTCTAGGTGGCATTTTGACAAGATAAATGAATGCAGTTATTTACTCAAGGGGAAATCTATGTTAGTACTGTATATAGAAATACTGTGTTAATACAATAAAATAATTTTATTGTCAATGCTACAATTTGTTAATACACTTTTTATCATAATTACATAATCGAATACAAGGATAATAAATTAAACCTCAAACAAACGAATTATCTAAACTGTATAACCTAATTTATTTGATGTCTAAAAGCTCGAACAAACAACTAATTACCTAAAACGTAATAATGTCAATTGATGCTTAAAAACTTGAACAAACAACTAATTACCTCAAACAGTAATAGCAACAATTAAAAACTCGAACAAACAACTAATAACCTAAAACAGTATTAGCAACAATTGATGCTTAAAAACTCGAACACAAACAACTAATTACCAGAACAGTAATAGTGACAATTGATGCTTACAAAATCGATTACCAAAACCGTAATAGCAGGCTTCAATTTAAACTAAAATCTATTAATGCATAAATTTGCGCATACAATCGTGCATTAATCATAAACGATAAACAAAAGCAAGGGATTTGTCAAATTTACCGATCTGATCAACCGAACTAAAATTATTGGCTAAGTTCGGTTATTGTTTCTAATCTTTATTGGGTAATTCATCTATTGTCCCGTATCAGTTTTTGTTTCGATTGTAGTATCTCGTGATTCTCTAATTACAAAATTATAATATCGAGTTTAGTTTTGTTATTACTTATAGTTGGTGATTATGATTTTTAAATATATAAAGCAACAAAAAATCGTGAAATTGTACAATCAATAAATCGCTTCGATCGCTCAATCGTTTCAATCGCCTTTTCTTTATCCAATCGCTTTTCTTTATCCAACTGCTTTTCTTTATCTAACCGCTTTTCTTTATCCAACCGCTTTTCTTTATCCAACCGCTTTTCTTTATCCAATCGCTTTTCTTTATCCAAACATGCCAAAATTATCAAAACAAAAACGTCATATGAAGTACATGACATCTCAAAGTAATGAAATCTGACAAATTCATAATATGATACCTCAAATTGATCTTGAATCTCGTCCAAATATCCACAAAATTATTACTAATACACTTAATCATTCACAAGAAGAGGAAATCTTTAATAATATTCGTGAAATGCCAGAACTACAAATGAAAAATGCGTTAAATCTAATTGAATCAATGCGAAATCCAAAAGGAAAGCATAAAAATGAAATTATTTCAGTCTAGCTCCAAAATAAAGCCCTTGAATATATTACGGATAGTCGTAAAAATCTAGTTGTTTTAAAAGCTGAGAATGCGAACCTAAAATCAGCAAACTGAAAACTATTAAGGAATAATCAAAATCTATTATATAAAATTCAGTCCGTAAGTAGTTCAAATTGGCATCTCAGAAATAAAGTAGAAAAGCGAATTTCAACTATCAGGTCATTAATACGCAAACGAAAGCAGATACCTAATGAAGAATTCAAATGCCAAATTAGCATATTATTTAAAACAAATAATCGAGAATATTCGCTAAAAATGGTTTGGCTTTCAACAAAGATATCGCAAATTGGCCAAACTTCTTTAACCGCGACTGCTGAATCATTGCGACTAGTCTACGAATTCTTAACCGGAGAACCTCCACAAAGATGGTTATCTGCAACGACCCTAAGTACCTGGTATAAAGAAGTCTTACAAATTGAGACTGAAGCCGGAATATATAAGGCTTCACAATGTTCACAGTATGGAATCCTTGTGGATGAATCAACTCATGGAGAAAGTAAATATTTCGTTGTATGTATAATGTTCTGGGATCATAAAAAAAACATTCCATCAGTAATTGTGACCAATATTGAGGATTTACATAACTGTACTGGTCAATCAGTAGCAGACAGCACTCTCAAAGCAATTACGATCCACGGGCTTGATCTGAAAAAATGTTCAACGTGGATAACAGATAACACAGCCTATATGTCGGGCAATAAGAAAGGCGCGATCGTTCAGTTTAATAAGAAGGCAAATGTAGATACAATAAGAATCGGTTGTGGAATGCATATAATGTATATTGTTTTTTCAAATTTCGAAGAGGCGTTTGGCAAGTTACCTTCCTCGATTGGATTCTCACGAACACCACAACCATATAATCTCCTATATTTGGCTTGGTATCTTCACGATGGATATAATTCGAGCAATAAAGGAAAACCTCTCAATATGAAGTCAGATTGGATTCAAAAACTATATGATGGATTATTAGGGTATCATTTCTCTCAATATCAATTGCCAATTCAGGGTCGTTAGGGATATGAATTACTTGCTGCAAAACAATATTTAGCCCGTCATGAAGCACACATAGAATTTGCCAATTGGTTCATTAAGGAACTTGAAAATAATCGGAATACACCACCTGCATATCTTTCAGATTGGTAAATTTTTAATTACTATTCATAAACTTTTGCATGCTTATTTTAAATATATCTATTAATAAGTTTTTTTATACTCACTAACTAGGCGTTTATTTCGGGATTGGCTCTTAAATGAAAAACTAAACATTCAAATTTAGTGTTTAGTTACATTTGGTGAGCACTTATATGAGCCTTTGATGCAATTTATAGTCGGAAGGGATCCCATACCTCGTATTCAAGAAGAAAACCATCTGGCTCAACTTCCACCTGGCCGACATGCTTACGAAATGCCGGATAAAGTGAATGAGTGGTTAAAGTTTTTAGATGAACTCAAAGAAAATTTTGACACATTCTTTGGACAAGAACTACTAACAGCGCTTGAATCGCTAAATAACGAAGACTTTAGTGAGCTCTTTGACAATTTGGAACAGGGGATGAACAAAGCATATGAAAGTTTTTTAAAATGGATGTCCCCGTGAATCCATTTACCATTATCAATCTGCAGTTTAGGTGGAAATTCCGGCCATGAATTCGCCTGAGCATTCTATTACGTTGTTTTTCAACAGTGGCTTGTAGAACCAACAGAGTGTGAAATAAACTTAGCACATCGATTACACACTGATTTGGAGATAACTAATAATACTTTCGGCCTTCGGGAAGAATTATTAGGTTCTTTAGAGTTTAGGAACGAGTTTCAAAACTTTTGTCTTATCCCAACCTCTAAAATTTATGAATATCAGTTATTATATAAATTCGTTAAAGAACGAATTTACTTCATCGTAATCCACCAACAGCAGGTCGAAGGGCTCTTTAATAAACTAGATTTAAAGACCCACCCAAATATGACGCAAGACCTAAAGCAATCGAAATTATGACTTTCGTCTAGAGATATTGATGAAGAAAATATTGCTTTAGGACTTTTGAAAGTTCGTACAAACCATAAAAAGCAATCGGTGGGATTAGTTCAAGACGGTGTGAAAACGCATGGAGAAGAAGAAGCAACTAAAATATTTTTAAATTTATATAAAATTTAAAGTCTGTCATAATCGTAATGTAATAAAAAAAATTTTTATAAATACAAATACACAGTAAAAGATTTTTTTATCGTTATCAAATATAAAAGTCAAAATCGGTGATCATAAAAAAATCTAATAGTAATTTTTATATGAGACTATACATATATTTGATCTACATAGTACATTGGACACCCCAATAATACGTGCGTACGTATGTATCGTACATGCGTTTGTTGTTTGGGTTAACTACCGAATCTTTTCATTATGAATAAAAAAATTTTTTTGATCGTCATAACTTGTGCAATAATATATATAGTCTAATTTCTGTATTGCAATCGAAAGAGACGATAATTTTCACATGTATGTTTGTAAACAATAAAGTTTCTGACCTATTTTCTTTTTTCAGATTCATTATGATCGAAATGAGTTTTTTATTAAAAAAAATGAAATTGGAAATTCTTAGTTTAAATAACTATCATGTAAAGTTATAGAATTTAGGTTTTGGCATATTGCAATATTGCAATAAATGAGTGCTGCAGAGCAAAAGCCTGTAACTGTTCATAGTAAATCATAATGATTAGTTACAGGTTCTTGCTTTGCAGCAATCATATTATTGGCTTCGTATGAAACAAGCTTTAGCCACAGCTTGGAACCAAGCTGCAGTCAAGCCAAGTTGATGATCTATAATTCAAGTTATAACATATACTAGGAAAACTAGAATCGTTGTAAGTCCGGAGCATAAGTGATGCAATGCAGTCAGACCAGATAATTTACTTACTATTACAGTACTCAAAAAAAGTGCCCGAATACACTGGGATTCCAGTTAACTAAAACTTTACAGACGCGGTATGCAGTCATCAGGCCGTTCCCACCCTATGCATCCGACTCACTTCCAAGTAGCTATGGCGAATGGCAATTCATCACCTCCATATCTTCAGATCTGTGAAATTCTTCTAGGCGTTCACCATTATTAGAGTTCATATGGAGGAATAGGCGGCGGATGTTACGGGCAGCATTTGTGTCATGGTTCGAGAGGGTCTGAAAGAAAGCATGCTAAAAAAATTCTCAGAAATTCACTAATTTAATTAAATAAAATGAAACTGACTAAACATATGTTCTTGCATACTTTAAGCGACCAGAATCGTGACTGTTTATCATTTGTTTATTACACATTGAACATATAATACTTGTTCGGTCTCATCTACAAGTTGAACTCAATCTTCGCCTCAACTCTTTGTATAGACCCTTAATTGGTCCAGATACACCCTTTAGAGTAACTTGAAAATTTCCCATCTCCATATACAACTATTATTCTTGAATTTTTTATTGGTGATCTGCTCACAGAGCTTGTTATATGCTTTATTATCATATATGAAGTCAACATCTTGCACTATAAAATTCAATAAGGGTGCGCATATCGCATATGTTGAAGAACATATACAAGATTATTATTATAAGAAGTGATAGAAGAATATGGTAGTATCAGAATATCTCTTTTTAAACAAATTATTAAAGTAAAATATTTTTAGTAAAATCAATAATTAAAATACTATATAGAATAGTTTTAATTTAATTATTGCCCTTAAATCCAACCTTTTTTTTGTATATATATAATCAGCTAATAAATATTATTTTTGGTTAAGCAATTAATTTACATTCTTTTTCAGTTATAGCTATAAATAAATTTCTTTAATCTGAATCTAAATCAATTACATGATTACCATTTCTAATATCTAAAAATAAAAATTACTCTTTTGATCAAATCTGTAAGCATTTATACCTTCTTTTATTTTTATTTTTTTAAGATTTATACTAATTCTCATTCTATCTATTATAATATTAAATCTAAATCATTACTGTATTGTTATAACCTTTTTAATTCAAAATGCTATTCTTTATTATTATTTTTTTTTTGTAGTCAAGGTTAGCCTCTTTGGCTTATCACTTTATTAGATTGTAGAATCATGTAGTGTTTTTATTATAAAGGCTTCAGACAAGTATATTTTGATAAAAGTACATTTGGCTATATATACAACTTTAGTTATTGTCTATTTAAGAACTTTGTTATATCTATTACTAACTATAGTTATCTACTACATACTGTATTTGAGATTTTTCTGTGGATCTCCTATTTAAACTCTTTGATCTGAGTTTTCTATGTCAATTCATCTAATTTTACCAAAACATGTAATACATTAATTAGTCTAAGATCCAAGATCATTGCGGCTACCTATAAGATTATCAGTATAGTTAGTCAATTCATTCTTGAGCATATCATCTGCTAGAGTAGTCTGGTATCTACTATTACTGTATTACAGTAGATACTGTCTAATTGCATACTGTCTAATTGCATATACTCTCTAAGTGTATAAAAAAATTTTGCTTTTAATTATTAACACTGAAATGGTTTTTATGATTTAAATGCATATACTATCTATATGCATAAAAAAGTCCATATGCACGGATTTGTATAATTGGGCCTTACAACTGGTCCCCAAAAATTTTAATGATCTGCGAAAAGTCACATGTTGATTGGATGTAAATAAAAATAGTACCCCAAATCACATGTCAAATTCGTGGACTTACCCAGAAAAATATAATAAAATATATATAAAACCAATGAAAGCAATCATAAAACCAATGAAACAATCAGAAAGAATAAGAATGGCAAAAGTCATATGTATGTTTTTTTTTAAAATTTATGTTTGCATTGTTATTTTTGTAAGATCATATTTGTTTGCGTGATTTTAGAGATCTAGCTAATTAACTTCTAAATTATTTGTACACATTTTAATTTAGGTGGTATATAAAGACCTGGCTAGCTGAA